GACACACATCAGACAGGAATCCCCAGGCTTGGCCCTCCAGAGCCCCCAAGCATGGTACTCAGGAGTGTAGAAGGGTGGGTCCAACTGCCCAACAAGTGGCATTCTATCACAACCCTGACTTTTCTAAATACATATGTAAGCAATTGCAGAATTTGACATACGGTTCAAAATGGGGCCCACGCCTCTACTCTCAGCACTTGGAGGCTGAGGCAGAAGGATTGCTGAGTTCCACAGCCTGGATTATATATCGATAAAGTGAGGCCCTGACTCAAATTAACAAAACAAAATAAAAAAGGAAAATATCCCCTAATTGGAAACACTGAACAAAGAATCTTTTTTTCCCATTTTTTAATTTAAATTAGAAACAAGATTATTTTACATGGCAATCCCAGTTCCCTCTGCCTCCCCTCCTCCCTTGCCCCGCCCCCCCAATTGACACCCTACCTATCCCATACCCTTTCTGCTCCCCTGGGAGGGTGAGGCCTTCCATAGGGGCTCTTGAGAGTCGAACAAAGAATCTTCATCATGGTTTCATTGCCATGGCTCTTCTGACCAGTGTCTTCACCTCTCCACAAAAAGAGGGCCACTGTAGAGCCCAGGGAAGCTGTAGCAGCTGGGGGTGTGGCCCTGGACTTAGACTTCTAGTTCAAGGGGCCTTGAGGGTCACTTACTGTTTAGCAGGAAGAACAGAAAATGTCAGTTCAACCAGAAGAGCCATAATCTCCAAAGAGCACCTGCTCCCTTCCCTGCCCCGCCCCTGTTTTCCAGGTGTCACCAAGACTAGGGAATCTGACAAGTGCCAGCTGAGGTACTCTGCTACAAAGGCTCCACCCTCTCCATCCTCATGGGGTGAAGTCCACAGGAGGCATCTTTAACACCGTGGAGCTCTCTGCCCTGCCATGGTTCTGTGCACTCATTGGGGACCCTCAGTCCAGCGGTCGTCTCTGACTGAGAAATCCTGGGCTGCGGCCACGGATGGAATCTGGGTCCCAGCACTACCTGCATGGGACTTGGGCATAGAGGGCTGGAGGAGGCTAAGCAGGCGTGCAGCCCCAGGCGAAACTGGCCTGAGACAGTCATAGAGAGCTTGGCTGGGCCGCTTTTACCCATCCTGTAAAGCCACAAATCAAACCACCTTCCCTTTTAAATGTTAAGGCTTCAATTCTCATTAGTGGTCCATTCAAAACATATAGAAAATGGCTTTTTCAGGGAAAAGTAATTTATTAGTAATTTAATGGCATTTGGGTTGTAGTTTTGAA